TATATATATATATATATATATATATATATTATATGTTGGAAGTACAGTAAATATGCATATGTTGACATGGAAACTGGACAGTTGACGAAATCACCTCAGATGGTTTTTCGGAATTAATCTCATCTATACTTGTAGAATCCGCACCAAAACACGACAGAGCTTCTGCAAGTGTATCCTACAAATGCTTATGCATTGTAACATAATAATGTGAAGAATGATAATATGCCAAAAAGAATAAGTTGTAAACTAGAGGAATATGAAATAACGCATTCATGATCATCGTCATTATCAGCAGCATTAGAATTATCCAAACTAGAAAGCAATTCAGGAGTAATTATCTATTCACTTTGGAAATTGTTGCATGTTGTGCTAAACATAATCTAGATAAATCTTTCGAAAAACTTTCAGTCATATTATTTATTATATATCTAATTTCCATCCTATGATTACCACATCAATTTTGTGGCAACCTTGTTAAAGCATCTTCTCCTGTATTTTGTATGCCCACATAACCTATGTCAACTTCCTAGCATTTTCTGCTCAATCCATCCCGATTTTATCAATATGGTAATATTAATCTTAACATGTAGATTTTAAATTTGTATCCATTTAACCATAAGAGTTTAATATTACATTTGTATGTATAATTTTCAAAATTTATAAATTGGAAAATATTTTAAGAAAATAGTGATCATCATCACCATAGATTTAGAAAATTCAATCAAGCATACGAGATATACCTCAATAAAACTATTATGGCATTGCACAATCAATCAATTGAATAACTCACCGCGAAATCTATGCTGCAGCGAATGCGTACCGATAAGTAGGGCGAGAAGAGCAGGGCTTCCTCCCCTTCCATTGCTCTAGTGCAGAATCCATCTTCTCCACGTTTCCTTTTAAAATGAAGGGAGACCAGAGATTTTACTCTTTGGCCCCCTTGCTCTATCATGGTTGACGAGAAGAGAGTCGAGAGATAGCGGCAAGTAAGAAATTGAAGCACAGTATTGGTAGGAGATGGATGGATGTAGACGAAGCGCCGGAGAAAGCGCAGACGGCTTATCATCGTCGTCGGAGAGACACGAAAGTGAAAACCCTAGCTACTCACAAAAGCTTAAAATCACGAATCAGATGAGAGGGAAGGTTTTCTTTGAGATCACATTTAAATATATTTTTTTTATTTTAATTTCGAATTTATAAATATAATTAATAATATTAATCATTATAAAAAACCTAAATATTTTCTTTTAAATCTTAAAAATTTATAAATGTGCTAAAATATAATAAAGAAAATGATGGAGGACCAAATAATAATTTAACTATGCAAGTTGACAAATGCAGACTGCTTTTTGAACTCTCAAACATTATAATATTCCGCCAAGCTTATCTTCCCGTCAAGAGGTTTTGTTTGGGCATGATCGGGTCGGGTCAGTCGGGTTGGGTCATTTTTATATTTTATGACATTTACATACCCACCATCTAATTTGTTATATTTACATATATAGCCCCTAAACTTTAATTATTACAATTATGCTATCAAAATCTTTCATATATATTTACATGCCTATTACATAAGAAAATATTGTCATCCTTAATATCTTAAAGATGAATATTTCATATATAGATTTGTATATATGTAAGTACATTTTCATTTAAAAAAAAGGAGCATTTACATACACACCACCCAATTCTTATGCATTTATATTAGTAACACTTAAATTTAATTTGTTATATTTATACCACTAAAATTTTAATTATCTTATTAAAAATAACATTATCTTATTATTTCATACATAGATTTGTTTGGTGTTAGATATGTAAATACTTAGAAATTGAGGAGTACATAAGTAAATTTTCAAGCGGTTCGGGTTACTATCCGGCTCGGCCCGACCAAAGAAGCGTAGTTTCCGGTCCAGTATCCCGCGCTTGGCGAACAAAATACGCGGCCGCCGCCAACTTTTCAGTGTGATAAATGTGAGAGGAGAGAGGAAAAGAGCTTAGGAACGTTGAAGTTTGAGAGAAGGCGGCTCAGAATCAAATTGGTCGGAGAATGATGGGAAAAGATATCCTGCATAAGATGAAGGTACGTCCCTTTTTGATCGGTTTGCTTTTTTTTTTTTTTTTTTTGCGCGGAATTAGGTCGATCAGATCCTGCAAAAATGTTCATTTTTGTTTGGAAAATAACCTAGATGGTGGATTTGATATGGGAGTAAAGTTGAATTTATTGCTTGTGGTTGAATGTGATGAAATCATGAACCGGGAATGCTTCTACATTTCATTCGATTGGTTGATTTGGGTGGGGTATTTAAGGAAGCTTCTTAGGGTTGTTTAAGGAGGATTTTTTTTTTAGGTTTTAGGTTTTGGGATTGAAGAATATGAACGGCTTGATATGGGTTGATGGGAGGGTATGGAAATGGGAGTTGATTATGTTATAGCAGTCGGATTTTGTTGTCTTTTCATTATTTTGTTTGCTTAGGGCAAGAGCTAATTGACTTGCAACATATATATTTATGATTTTTTTTTTTTTTTTTGCTAGGGATTTCAGGATTTGAGCTAGCAAGAAGATTCACAAGAGTTGTTAATTTGTTTTTCTTATTTTTCTAAACTATGTTAGAGGATGTTTCAACAATGTTACTGCTAATATTGAAATGCTTTTGTTTGAAGAAATGTAAAAACCTTTCATGATTTGGAAATGGTATCTTTATTTAGTAATGATTAAATCGAAGAAAAAATTATACTAATTTTATGCTAAAATTTAAGTCTTAGTTAATAGTGTCCTAAAATAAACTTAGCAGGAGTTATAATCTTTTTTTTCTTTGCAGAAGATTATTTGGAAACTTGTCATTATGTTAGTTTAATTTCTTGAGAGCTTACCTAATACCTTGGATAATTTTGGTTGGGCTTCATCATTTTATTAAGGTCACTTTGAAGCAACATTTTCAAAGTTACACACACACACACACACACAAACACACACAAACACACACACACGTATATATACTAAATGTGATCATTGATCCATCTAGATTCACTCTGGTTTCCTTATGGTTCACACCCGCGTTGATAAGTAGTATTAGAGTCAATAGTTTAGGTAGGATCAAGTGACACTTTCAATTTATGATCCCATAAGTCTTAACAAGTCCACCATTGTTGAGCAAAAAAATTATAAGCGGATGACTCCCATGATTAATTGACACGTTGAATGGGATTTTGATGCATTATATTTTCTTTTATTTGATTGGGAACGATGAATAATGTGAAGAGTTCCCATGTGAGTGGGAGATTATTAAGGCACATTGGTGAGGATAAGGGTTTAGTATTATACCATGCTTAAAATTACATAATAAGAGGTTCGCCTTAGTGTTTTTTTGGTGAAAATTGGCTATATGGAATACATCTTATGGATGCCTTGATAACAAGGCTGAGCGTTCCACCACACAATAAACAAGAGGCATACATCTCAAATCATAGGTGATCTTAAATATATATATTTATACTTAGATATAATTTCAAAGCTCTATTTTGTAATTTCATCCCATCTAAAACTGCATTCAAGCATAAATCTAAACCTCTCAATTCCTCTCCTTAACAACCTTCAACCCAGCAAGTATACTCTCATTGAATTCGTTTCATTTCTTATCCGAACTTCTATGCTAGGTGATCTTAAATATATATATTTATACTTAGATATAATTTCAAAGCTCTATTTTGTAATTTCATCCCATCTAAAACTGCATTCAAACATAAATCTAAACCTCTCAATTCCTCTCCTCGACAACCTTCAACCCAGCAAGTATACTCTCATTGAATTCGTTTCATTTCTTATCCGAACTTCTATGCTATCATTGTCGTTGCCATTGCTTTGACAAGCCGTCATCCACAACATTTCTCATATTTTCAATGAAAATTTCATTTTTTTTCTTTTCTTAACCTTAATTTTTTTATTTTCTTAATTTATCATTTCATTTTTTTAACATGTACATTTTTTAATCTATTTTTTAAATTAAAATTTTGCTTTAGATTTTTTCAGATAGGTTAAAAGTCATGAGAAAGTTTAATGGGAAATTAAAAAGATCGGGCATGAAAAAATTATCTGCAAGTGCAAATTGGAGGGGGTTGAATGGTCACAATTCTATTGAAGTCCAGCTACTATGATAAAGTTGTTAAATATGGTGTAATTAGCATGCCAAAGCATCCATCAGTTCATAATAATGTTGCATCATATCCCAAAGTTCTTTGAAAAGTAAAAAGATTCATGCTTAGAAGAACAAAGCAACTACGTCAAAGCATTTGGCATGGCAACAATTTGACAAGAGAGTTAATAGCAAATATCATTATGGTTGTAGGCTTAATAGCAAAAATGATTCTTCTTCTTTGGCATAAACGTCTAATATAAGTGGAATAGGACCTTTAGACTAATATATAATGAGTGTGGAGGATGAAAATGAAGTTTAGCCACAACTGCAGAGGAAGATCTGACAATATTATCTCTTCTTTGTCGTAGGAAGGAGGAAGACTAACACAATTCAATGAGAAAATAACTTTAAAAGTTATTATAAAAATTCATATAAATCAATTTATATTCATCAAAAGTCATGAATTTTAATTTTAGTTAATATTCTTATTTTTATTGTTTATGGAAGTTGATTATGGTTGAGATTGATGATGAGGAGAAAGAGTAGGAGAATATTGACACGATCGAGGATAAGAATGGGAGAAAGCAATTCACTAGAATCATGATTCTAATAAAGGCCCTCTATACGATGAGAGTTAGATATTTAAATTTATAAATTTTAATCATACTAGTTTAGAGTCTTATTAATGTTGATTTAAGAGAAAATTTATTGCTATGATATTGCTTTGACTTGTGATCTTTCTTTGATGTTATACTAGTAATTCTTAATTCATTCTTTTATAAGTTTAAATGTGGTAGTTGTAAGAGAGTTATTGTTTGACTTCTTGGAAAAAATTAATATTTATAATTCACTCTGCATCTTTTATGAAGTCATTTTCCTCACCGCAGGTTTACAATCACCTTTTTAAAAAGTTGCAACCGTCCCTAATGACCCTTGTAAATTGCCCTAGTTATTGGTTTGTTTTAATACAAACTTATAAGTCTATGTCTATATTATGTGGCTATAATGAGTTTTATATTTAATATTTTGTGCAGACACGTGTGGCATTGGATTTTGTCTCATTGGGTTTGGTCTTACATCATGTAGTTCAAATTTTTCCGGCGCTGAAATATTAAATCATTGGGCCTACTTTTTGATTGAAAATAGAACTTACTAGTAGTGCATCTCTCTAGCAAGTGATATCAAAGTTGATGGTTTCACTAAATCACGTGGTTCATGCAATATGTAGTTCCATGATTTTCGGCCCTACCACCAAGATTCATCATGGTTCTAGAGCAAATGACTCTCATGATGGATCAACTTTGAACGAGCTTTTGGTGCATGATATTTGGCGATAATTTTGTTCAAGGCGTGATGGACGATGATAATGGGGAGATTGTTAAAGTACTTGAGATTTTGGGTTTATTCTCATATCAAATAGTTGAAATATATGTTGGTGTGTAACAATTAGATGATTAGCCCTCATTCATACGCGTAAATATTTGGCTTAAAAATGAAAGTGCTTATTGGTGTATGTAGCTCAACTTGAATCTTCTTTTGATCAACTTCCCTAACAATCCACAATTAGGGATTTTATTTGTTTCTTATCTAGATTTGCTTTTCTAGATCACAAAATGTTAAAACCTTTCTCCATCTATAATCTTAGAATATAAATTGCACAAGTATTGGTAAAACCTGCCCTAAACAGCTCATGCTTGATAACGTTGGAACAAGAGCGACAAGTTAACTTGAATTAGGAAGTGTCTTTCAATAAGAAAAAAATTAAAAATAATAATAAAAAAAAAACCAAACAAACAAACACAACACATAATTCACCAAGATTTATGTTCTTAAGCTTACATCCACAAGAGAGGAGATAGGCTATAACACATTAGGATTGCAGTCCTCAATCATTCTTGTACAAATAAAGAGCTTTTGCTAGCGTTACTTACGAATGATGTAAGCTTTTTAAAGAGAAAAAACAGGGAGATGCATACACTTAAAAAAATTGTAGCCATGAGGGTATGTATGTCATCTTTTTCTTGATATGTTAGTGCAAAATTTCAAGAATGGCTTCAGAAGCCCTGAATGAAAACCTCAATAACTTAGATATTGCATGCTTCTCCAAAATGAAACCCCCTAAATGAGAGGGATTTTTGCTTCCTCGCTTTCTTGTTGTGATCCTTGAGCACAACGATCTGATTTGACCTTTGATCAAAGAATGTAAGATTTTGGGTATCAAAATGTTAAGTTACTTGTAACAATTGGTGATGATGAGTTTGAAGCAGCATGTGCCTTGATGTTCTTTGTCTTTCCCATAATTTTTCATGGAGAACACTGTTAAAATAATCGCTTAACTTTTTTTTGCATGGGGCCATTGTAGTCCCAGAGTCTATAAAAGTGTCAATTTAATCGCCACTCTCTTAATACGGGCTAAAATAGTCCCAACAAAGGGCTATTTCACCCCTAATTTAAAAATCTGGGAATTAATTTGGCACTTTTATAGCTATTGGACTAAAATGGCCCCAAGTAAGCAGTTAGAGGAATAGTTTGGCATTATACTCTTTTCCATCCTAGTCTCCAATTCTTCCTTATGGTTACACTTCAGAAGGTGAAAACCTCAATTCAAGCTGTAATACTTTCCTGTTTTTTGTAATGTGGCATTTTTCCATCATATGTAATTTCATTATTACATAAAAAGTGGGAATTCCTCTTACAGGTTAAAGCTGGGTTGTCTTCTTCAAACACAGATACAACTGGAAAAGGCAAAACTAAGATGTCAGGAAGGCATATCAGGCATGGATACCACTTGGTAAAGGGCCAATCTAATCATCCAATGGAGGATTATATAGTAGCTCAGTTTAAGCATGCTGGCGACTCCGAGCTGGGCCTATTTGCCATTTTTGATGGCCACATGGGTCATGATGTTCCAAACTATTTACAGTCACATTTATTCGACAATATCTTGCGTCAGGTAATATGTTTTCCATTCTCATGTTCTAATTTCAGGTTTCGTGTATGCTTTGTGGTCTTTCAGTATTAAAAATTATTTCCTCGGCCACATCTTCTATTACATTTTCTCAAATGCAATTTTTTTAAGATAAATTTGGAAGGAATGTTAAAAAATTGTCATCCAAACAATTACTAGTTTTTTGGGAAATTTACATACATGCCACACAAGTTTTATGCATTTACATATCAACAGACAGAGTTTGATATTCATATTCATAATATCTTGGTATTAGATATCTATGCATGAAAAAGTGTATCACTTTTAAAAAATAAGTATTAGTTTTATTTATTATTATTTTTTTTTTTGATGTCAAAGAATTGATTGTTATTTATTTAAATACGAAAGCTTAGGTGCTAGATATGTAATTATATAAAAATTTTGAGGTATTTATGTAAATGCTGCACTTTTATATTAGCTGCTTTTTCCCTCACAAAAATAATTAGGAACTTATCATATGCAATCAACCTTTAGTTTCACCATGCTAACTTTTATTCCCTTTTATCTCATATATTCATCATGATTCGATCAGCCCGATTTCTTCACTGACACGAAAAACGCAATCAAGAAAGCATATGAAATTACCGATAGCACGATTTTGGAGAAAGCTAAAGAATTGGGAAAAGGCGGCTCCACTGCTGTAACAGCTATCTTAATAGATGGATCTAAGCTTGTTGTTGCTAATTTAGGAGATTCTCGTGCAATTATTTGCAAGAATGGCACAGCCAAACAACTCTCCATTGATCATGAACCCAGCGAAGAGCGCGAGATAATCGAGAAGAAAGGCGGTTTTGTTTCGAAAATTCCTGGTATGATATAATATCTATGTGATAAATAAGGTTGTGAGCGAACAAGTGCACTTGATGAATAACTCGTCCATATTCATATAAAACTCATTTTATGTTTTTTTTTAATAGTCAAGTAAATTATAAATTATTAAATGAATGAGCTGAAATGATATGACTTCTTTCTGATGCTTCTATTTGATTTTAGCGGAACCATTTTATTATAGGGAAATTTACATATATATCACACAAGTTTTGTGTATTTAGATATCTAACAACCAAAGTTTGTCATACTTATTTCACTTCAAAAAGGTTGTGATGGTGATATTTTTATTTTTGATGTTAAAGATTTGAGTGATATACATGTAAATCTAAATGTTTAGGTATTAGATATGTAAATATATAAGATTTATGTGGTATGTATGTAAATGCTTTATGTGGTATGTATATTTATGTGGTATGTATGTAAATGCCCCTTTAATCTATTTGTGATTGTAACTATGCTGATAATTCAGGAGATGTGCCCCGTGTTGACGGACAACTTGCCGTTGCGAGGGCGTTCGGAGATAGGAGTTTGAAGGTGCACCTTAGCTCTGAACCATATGTCAATGAGGAGATAATCGATGATGAGACGGATTATCTTGTCTTAGCGAGCGATGGATTGTGGAAGGTGAGTTTTTTTGGCAGCAATTTTCCTTTTACAGATACTTTTCTTGTGCGTAAAATGTCAAAATAGTTCTCAGATTCATTTGCAGGAGGTTTAGTCCCGGATTCTATAAAGTGTCGGTTTAGTCCCTAGATTTTTTTTTTTTAGCATGGGTTGAAATAATCTACAGTGAGGGTTCTTTCAGCCCCAATTTACAGAGTTTGGGGACTAATTTGACATTTTTATAAACTTTGCGGCTAAATGACCTCATGTAAACAGTCAGTGGACTATCTAGCACCTTACTCTGTTTCTCATACTCTATAATTGCTAATTGAGCTTTGGTGTTATCAGGTGATGTCAAACCAGGAGGTCATCGACGCCATCAAAGGTATTAAGGATCCTCAGGCTGCTGCTAAACATTTGACAGAGGAGGCTCTCATCAGGAAGAGCAAAGATGACATCTCTTGCATTGTGGTGAAATTCGAGTAAGATTTGCAATTTTGAAGATTAGTTTCTTTGTTTTGTTTGTATATTGTTTGTTGAACAAGTTCAAGGTTGAATTTTTAAATAGAATTGTGATGTTTCTAATTTTGTTTGGAGAAGGATATGGTGCAGTGGATTAAAATTGTATTATGGATTTAGTTTCAGTTATGTTGGTGTACTGTTTTTATTGTAGTTTATGTTGGAATTAGGCGCTTTGGAATAAAATATATGGAGGGAAATAAAATAAAAATTATAAGGATTTGCCTAATTTATGAATTTTTTTTTTTTTTTGGAAATTTGGATACATACCGCACAATTTAATTCATTAATATGTACATATCTAGCACCTAAAGTTTGATATTTACACTTATAACACTTTGGTGTCTGGAAGTTATGCATTAGAAGGTGTTCTTCACTTTTAGAACTTAGCAGCAGTGGTATGTTTGATGTGATATTAAAGATTAGTGTTATGTATGTAAATTTGAAAGTTAGGTGTTAGATTTTGTGGTATGTATGAAAATGACTCTTTTTTATGGTTGTAGATTTTGTTATGTTAATTATGATGATTTTGTAAAGGAAATTCTCAGCCTCTCTTTTATTATTATTTTTATTATTATTATTTTGACACTAGTTGATTTATCTGTGTAAAAAGTTTGCATAGGATATATTTGTCTTGCCAATCATTAAATGATGTGCATGTTATCATCTAATATTTCCCATACTAGAATCAATGCACCATTATCACATGTGGTATCCATCAAGGCAAAAACTCACTCGAGGTATCTTTCAATTTTTACACTAACATACATAGTTGAGTTATAACCAGTAAGTTAATAGTTTCAACAGCTATACTTGGCTGCAGCAATAGATGATAGTAAAACTTAATTGGATTGTTCATATTAACTCGCTCGATCATCTCAATTCTTTTTTTCAGCATTTAAGTGTCTTATGATGCCAGAATTGAGAAATCTTATGTTCGTTAGATTTCTCTTGTCAAGCCACTTGATTTGAATATAAGCATGTCAAATTTAGAGATTATTTAGTTTTCCAATTAATGCACTAAATTTTTTTTATTGCACTTCCAAGTGATTGACTTGGGGGCTTATATGGACTTGAATTGAATCACTTGCAGTGTCATTGTGTTTGTTTTGTAGTTTAATCATAAATTTGTTAAAATTAGAGTTTGGATGATTTTAAATCTAAATACGGAAGATTTCTTATTTAAAATACATTGAAATTCATGCATGATCATATAAACTTATCGATGACATATTGATAATAAACGCAGTATAAGTGATCCTAAAATGGCACCCGCGTTTAGAATTTATTATCACATTTAAATTTAGGGGCATGTACATTCATATCACCCAATTAATATACATTTACATATAAAAATTTTTATGTACATTAAAAAATGATCTGCACGAATCTTAAAATAATATAACGGTCCAGATCGTAAAGATAAATGGCTAGAATCTCCTTGGACGAAAAGTTACAAATCCTCATGAATTTGATCGGTTGAAGACCACCATTCGACCGAAGGTCGCCCGGCCCATGGCTAGTCGACCCACCGAAAGTTAAACGACCAAAGGGCCACCCTGGCCAACCAAGGACAGGCATTCAGGCCAACGATCGATTAAAAGTATAACACACCTAACAATCAAACAAGTATCAACATGGAGCTCTCTGAATAGCTTCGCCAAATATCTCCAGAGACCATCAATAAATAATAATCAAGAAAGCTGATCGGCCATCCAAAAGCCAATCGACCACCCCACTCAAAAACAGATTGGTTTCCTAGAACGAAGGTCGATAGATGTCCAGACTAAAGTCGATCTACCCAAAGACCTACCGAGATAATAATACGATGTGCAACCCCTTTGTAATTTAACACATTTGTCCCTCTAGCTTTTATAAATAGGATCATCATATCATTTATGAGGGGTTTCTTGGCTCTTCTCTCTAGACTCATCTTATATAGGGAGAACTCTCTCTCATGCTCTCTTGTAACTGCCACTTCCAATATATAAAATGAGTCACTAATCCCGAGAATACGTCAGTTTTCCCTAGAGGGGCTAGTGTTACATCCCCCCCCACGGTTCTTATCGCACCGATTTTTAGGCATGTTTCACAGGATAGATTTGGGATCAACAATTTGATACATAGGTAAGGTGAAATTAGCTTGAAGATTGTTAATCGCTACAAAGTTGATTTGGATTTGAGTTAAAATTGAGATCAAATCGAATAGAATGAGTCAAGCTAAGATCCAAACCTTTGGATTAGACTTTTTTCGATCGAATTTTTTATCCTAAGTTAGATCAGATTGATCTCACCAACAAACAGATCGATAATAAGCGAACGATATAAATGGGGCCTCGTGTCACATTGTGAACTGCATATGCAGACAGTTTATTTGGTAATTCATTAAACCCTAAAATATTCTCAATCCCACAATCGCTTGTCTGCTCTCCATTTCGTTTGGCCTTCTCTTGCCTGCCCTTTTCAAAATCTCTAACCTTAGGCGAGGAATGAGGAGGAATCGACACTCTGGTACAACGTTCCAGCAACTAAAAGCCTTCGGTGGTGTCGTTTGCTCATTGCTTGATCTGTGACCTCCATCTCTTTAACCTCACCTTCTCCTTTTGGTCTATTCAAAAACAAACTTCTCCAAATATTGGGTTTTGCATCTAAGATAGTTGTCATTTATTGCATCTCTACTTTATTATGATAAATGTGTATACGTTTTTTTCGGTTTGCCATTGGCGATAAGATAAATTATCTAATATGGGGTATTTAGTACCACATTCAGGACGACATTTTATCTAATTCTCTGTGGTGTGATATCCATCATTGAAGGATATTTACTTTAGAGTTAGATTATGTTGTAATGGTGCTAGAAACCTTAGTTTCTAATTATTCCTTTGTTTTTTATTGCTTGTGGTTGTTGAATGTTTTATAGGGTTGCCAAGGTCATGAGCCAAAAGCGACATTCGAGCCAGATCAGTCAGGTTCACTAGCCAAAAATGACATTTGAGCCGGCTTGCTCACAATTAGATCCGGCTAAAAAATTGCTCGATTTCAATCCAAGTTGGATCAAACATGGATCGAGCCGGTCTATGAGTCCAATTTGATCTGTATTGTAGCAATTCGATTCGATTTTTGAGCCACTTTTGGATCGGCTCAAAATTGGCACATCACAGCACTAATGGTATATATGTAAAAATTGAAGTTTAAATGTTAGATATGTAAGTATATAAAAATTAGGGAGTATATATGTAAATTTTCTATAAATTTAAGCCTGATTAGTAAATCTCAACAAACAAATATCCTTATTCTCACGTCGAAGTACCGGATCTTGCAAGAGTTCCCATTTAGGCCTGCGGCAAAGTACTACTCCCTCGGATCGCGTCCCCTGCCACAGCTACGAGCAGGCAGCATTCATCAATAATTTAATAATTGTACAAATATAGGGTCACCATAACATTCACCCAAGAAATAACCCTCTATCGCTTTTCTTCCACGTGTAATATACTCACTATTGGCCCCATATTTTTTCGAAATAATATTTAAATATATATATAATTCATTAATTTTATTAAAAAAATTTAATTGACATCATGACAATAAAAATTCATAATCAATTAAAATTATAAAAATATATTAAATCATATTTAAATAAATATTTAAATATATAAATAATAAGATGTAAATCTCACCTGGTCTAAATATTTTCTTATTAACGAAATAGCTCATGATCTGCTCATAACAAGTTGAACACAAATAATTTTTTTGCTCCCAATATATAAACGAATCGAATATGAATAATGAAATTTTTCAAAAATAATGAGCAGACATGAACTCGCCTAAACCCAAGCTGAAGCCCAATCCCAGGGCAAAAATTGGCATACATAAGATGTACGCAGAGCTGCACATGTCGGAGGTTATTATTGAGGGATTATAGGTAAATTATAGAGATATTACAGGAGTTGTAATTTATATATAATCTCTTAATATCCTCTGAAAAATCTCGCACGTATTCAAATTTTTGTTCAAATCTCAGGCCTTAGGAATATATAATACGAAAGTGCGCCTGTTGAGAGGTACGCATACTGGGACCAAGCAAAGGGACCCACAAACGACTCAGGGCCGACCGACAACGACGCGACGGAACAAAGCGCGGTCGCTTTCTAGAGTTCTTTTTCCGATACACCAAACAGGCTTCGTGGAAAGATAGGAGCACAGAAAGCGGATGTGTCTTCGAGTTATGCTTGCAGAGTTGGAGTGACCTTTCGGCAAGGAAATTATAATAAATAATAACATATTTATGATGAGAAAAATAATTAAATTACATGCATACCATTCAATTCTTATGTATTTATATATTGAAAAATTTTCTTAATTTTAATTTGGACATATATATATCATAGATATATGAATTTAAAAATCGAACTGGTGGTACGATCAGTTTAACTTCAAATAAGTCATTTAGCTCGTTTGATTCAAGCTCAGAATTGTATAATCGAGATCGAACCAGTTAGAACCGGTAAATCAGTTTTACTTCTAAAGAACCTTGAGGTTAAAATATTATCTAACTTTAATTTTATGATTTTTATTTGGAAATAAGATATTTGAATTAAAAATAGTGAAAATATCATGTATTAAAATTTTAATTTAGAATATTGTTCAAAATAGTCAGAAAATATTGTCTTAAATTAAAATATTATTTATTAAATCAATAAAAATGATATTAATATATCATTATTATATTATATATATTATATTAAAATACTTTAAATATTTATTACATTATCCTGTTAAGCCATCGATTCAACCCTGATCAAACCAATGAAACGTTCGTATTTCATATTTTAAAAGTTAAAACAATGATATTTTATGTGCAATAAAAGATTTAGATTGCGTAAATATAAAAAATAAATTTTATGTTAGATTTATAAATACATAAAAATTGGGTGGTATGCACATGACAAATAAAAAGGTATTTAAGGGTGTATAAATCGGGTGTTCTAAAGTTTATGTATTTTTATTTTTTTTTTTTTAAAAAAAATCAATCTTTTATTTTCTCAATATTTAATAAAAAGAAAAAAAAGTTTAAAGTTTAATGATTCAATTGGATAGGATTGATATATTTTAAATGATAAAATAATTTTATTTAAGAAAATTCATATACAATATTATAACTAAATACATTATATATA